CAATCCAAAAAAATGGTTTAAATTCCTTTTAAATGAAATTATTATATCACAATTCATTCAAAGACATTTCCTCTTTCAACTAAAGTAGTGGTCATGTAATTTCTCCTTCAAAACATTATTATACAAAACATTATCACGAAATTGCGTTACCTTGCTCAATTTAAGTGTTACCACAAAAAATTAAAGAATTAACCGAATAAAATAAAAAAATTTAATTTAAATAGAAAGTATCAACAACTGTGGTGCCAAGTTAAAATCTACTATCAAAATGAAAAGTAAAAAGTGATACTATCTTTATTATTTACTTAATTCAAATGGTACTATCTTTAATTTTTATGCAATGAAACCTAAGTATACGTGTACTTATTGAAGAATATTCCTATTCCAATCCAAATGGTTTAAATTCCTCTTAAATGAAATTATTTATTATATCACAATTCATTCAAAGGCATTTTCTCTTCCAACTAAAGTAATGATTATTTAATTCTCCTTCAAAACATTTTGAATATAAATAAGAAGGATAAGAATATAATACTTAGATAAATAATATAAATAAGAAGCATATTAATAAGAAAAGTCAGACTGATATTAAAAAATTCGAACGAAAAATAAGAAAAATTAAAATATAATAACATATTGGTAGTATAGTAGTAAAGCATGAATGTAAATAAGAAGGATAAGAATATAATACTTAGGAAAATAATATAAATAAGAAGTAAATAACAAATATTAATAAGAAAAATCAGAATCATATTAAAAAATATGAACGAAAAATAAGAAAAATAAAAACCATCCCCAATGAGAGTTAAAATATCTAGCATATGTGTATATATGATTGAGTTATAGAGTCGTGTAAATTATGATCATTGTGAATTCTATTAAGTTTAAATCAAAGAAAAATAAATTTAGATTTGTAAGACATGCATTATGAAAGAGAATTTATTATTACTTTTAAATTATATTAAAATATTACTTTTAAATTATATACAATTATCTTTTATTATTTATTTATTAATTACCATTCCAATTTTTAATTGTTCTTATAGTTTTTCTTACTTTATCTAGCAGCGCCAAGAGTTATTACTTTAGTTGGAAAAGGAAATGCCTTTGAATGAATTGTGATACAATAAATAATTTCATTTAAGAGGAATTTAAACCATTTGGATTGGAATAGGAAGATTCTTCAATAAGTACACGTATACTTAGGTTTCATTGCATAAAAATTAAAGATGGTATCATTTGAATTAAGTAAATAATAAAGATAGTATCACTTGAGTTTTACTTATCATTTTGATAGTAGAATTTAACTTGGCATCACATTTGTTGATACCTTCTATTTAAATTAAATTTTTTCATTTTATGCGGTTAATTCTTTAATTTTTTGTAGTAACACTTGAATTGAGCAAGATAACGCAATTTTGTGATAATGTTTTGTATAATAATGTTTTGAAGAAGAATTACATGACCACTACTTTAGTTGAAAGAGGAAATGTTTTTGAATGAATTGTGATATAATAATTTCATTTAAAAGGAATTTAAACCATTTTTTTGGATTGTAATAGGAAGATTCTTCAATAAGTATACGTATACTTAGGTTTCATTGCATAAAAATTAAAGATAGTACCATTTGGATTAAGTAAATGATATCAATAAAACTTAAAATTATAACTCTCGAAAATGTCAAATAACATAAACATTAATGGGCTAATGAGAGTCACAGCTGCGGTAATTCGTGCGAGAAAGAAACAATTTTTATTATATATAATACTTATTAATTTTAGACGTTTCGGCTCCAATTCGGGCCATCCTCAGTAATTCGCATTGATATAATAATCATTTCGTCTTCATGGCTGG